GATCAAACACAATCTGCCAATGTTATTTTAACATCAACAAATGAGCAATGATTTTAATTAGTGACAATTTTAATCTAATGTAAGCTAGAGTCAGTTCGTTTCATAAATAAGACAATAATTACTAATAAAAAGTGAAAAATTATAGAATAATGAATATGAACAAATTTTCTGCTCATAGCAACATGGATAAATCTCACATAGTGTTGACTAAATGAAGCCAGACACAAAAGAATACATAGTGTAATTCCTTTTATATAAAATTCAAAAACAGGCTAAATTGATCTAGAAGTCAGGTTAGTGGCCACCTTTGGAGAGAATGAATGTGAGTAATGATTGGGAGGAGCCCCAAAGGGGGTTTCCCAAGAGTTTAGTCTATTTCTTTACCTGGGTGGTGGTTATATAGGTGTGGTAAATTTTCTTTTTATTATAATAAATTTTTTTTTTTAAGAAATAGGGTCTTGCTCTGTCACCCAGGCTGGAGTGCAGTGGCCCAATCACAGCTCATTGCAGCCTGTAACTCCTGAGCTCAAGCGATCCTCCCGCCTGAGCCTCCCCAGTAGCTGGCACTATAGGCTCATGGCATCAAGCCTGGCTAATTTTTTTTCATTTTTTTAGAAATGAGGTCTCACTATTTTGCCCAGGCTGGTCTCGAACTCTTGACCTCAAGCAATTCTCCTGCCTCAGCTTCCGAAAGTGCTGGGATTACAGGTGTGAGTCACCACACCTGGCCTGATCAATTTTAACAATTCATTGAGTGGTACACATATGATTTGTATACTCTTCTGTATGTGTGTTATATTGCAAAACAAAAGTTTAATTAAAAAGTAATTAAGTGGGTCGGGTGTGGTGGCTCACACCTGTAATCCCAGGATATTGGGAGGCTGAGGTGGGAGGATCACTTGAGGCCAGGAGTTTGAAATCAGCCTTGACAACATATCAAAACTCCATCTGTATAAAAAAATAAGAAAAATTAGCCAGGCATGGTGGTATGTGCCTGCAGTCCTAGTTACTTGGGAGGCCGAGGTGGGAGGATCACCTGAGCCCAGGAGTTTGAGGTCTCAGTGAGCTATGAACACTGCACTCTAGCCTGGGGAACAGAATGAGATCCTGTCTCAAAAAACAAAACAAAACAAAACAAAAAGCACTGAAGTGAAGGAAGGAACAAAAACGTTTTTCATTGTGTCAGGTTTTGGTATGCCTGCTGTGTGTTGCACCTAGTGTGTTAAAAGGCTGGCTTAATGATTCAAGATACTGGTTAAGAATTATTGAATATTGAAGTAAGAAACTACTTTGAGTGGCTAAATGTCTCAGAATGGCTCAGATAATACATGAGAGATGGGATGTGGTATAAGGCAGAGAAGAGTTAAAAGGAAGTTCTTTGTGAACTTAAGATCCCCGAAGCTGGGAATCTGAGCAGATCCTCCCTGAGAAAGTGTGAGGGAATGGACAAGAGGTGTGCTTTCCCCTTTGTCAGCGCAGAAACTGGGCAGGCAGATGGCACTATGGTTCCCTTGGAGTCTAGTAAAGATCAAGATTTTAAAAAGAGTGGAGCAGGAGCTAGGGAGTAAAAAGGGACCTGTGTCTGGCAAATGTTGGCTTTGGGTAACTTGGCAGAATTACCAAATTACCCCGAAGGGAAGATCTTGAAGAATGACTGTCCTCTAAATGGTGCCTTTATCATCTGTCCTCTAAATTGTGCCTTTATAAGCCCTCATGCTTGCTTAATAAGAAGCCGGAAACCTTGCTGGCGTTCCTGGAGACAGATAGCCACACATGGAGTGGAACAGCCTCATGGTGTGTTTTAAGTGCTGCTTATTTTATGTAGATTTCTACATCAATGGGATAATCAATATCAGCGGCATCAACTCCGAATTATCAAGAATGATGACATAGACTAGTTTTCTTAAACGCCAGATATGGATGGGAGGTTTGCAAAAGAGCTAGCAAAAATATCAGGGAGAAATAATAGGGGAAAAGATTGGTATAAGGGAAAGCACAGGAAGAGTAACAGGAAGGAGAGGGAATGGTGGAGAGCAGACAGGTGAGCTTGGTTTTCAGAGAAAGAAGCAGAGATGAAAGAAGAGAGGGTTTAAATGTGAAATACGGTACTGTCTATAGAGAGTCTGTAGATACTTTGGATTTCCAGAAGGTGGAAGGAATCAAAGACAGCAATGAGACCAAAACATATAATAAGAATGGTCAGATATGTGGACTTCCAAAAGAATAAGTAGGGGGAAATTCTTCTTGTAGAAAGTCTTCTGAGAATTGTTTAAATAACAAGAAAATAAACAATGAGATGTGAAGAGGTTGTGAGCATAAGTCTGGATACTGCCAAGGAAAGGAGAGAGTGGGAAGTTAAGTAGAAACGACAACCCATGAAGTTAGAAAATGTTGAAGCATTTGGCGAGAGTAGTATATCCAGGGCCAATGGTCTGGTTTTTACAAAGAGCTTATAAATTTTCAATGTACACTCTTAACAGAGGTTTTCATTTGTGTTTATTTATTTTAAGACTCATCAAATGTAATAGTGAGAAGTGGGGAAAGAGTAGAACAGGAGTTTGATTTGTAACTGACTGTGAACAATCAATTGAGATAACGCACTACCTTTGGACCAGCCTTAATGGAGGTTTTTTTTTTCTTTTTTTGAGACAAAGTCTCACTCTTTTGCCCGGGCTAGAGTGGGTGCCGTGGCGTCAGCCTAGCTCACAGCAACCTCAAACTCCTGGGCTCAAGAAATCCTACTGCCTCAGCCACCCGAGTAGCTGGGACTACAGGCATCCACCACCATGCCCCGCTAATTTTTTCTATATATTTTTAGTTGTCAAATTAATTTCTTTCTAATTTTAGTAGAGACGGGGTCTCGCTCTTGCTCAGGCTGGTCTCGAACTCCTGAGCTCAAACAATCCGTCCGCCTCGGCCTCCCAGAGTGCTAGGATTACAGGCGTGAGCCACTGCACCCGGCCCTTAACGGAGGTTTTTAACAGAAAACAGAGGAAAATAAAATAGTTATTCTCACAAGGACTATTATACATATATATTTTTTTGAATGAGAGAGAGACATCAGAAACCAGAAGTCCCCCCTTTCAAATTGTGAAACACCCATAACATTCCTGCTGACATGTCAAGGCTGGCACTTAGCTTAAAATGTTTTGCTTCATTGTGAGATCGTGTTTTAAACCACAAGGCTCATTTCAACATGAACATATCACTGGAATGTTCTTTTGCGAAGGGCATTGTCAAAGGATAGTCTTGGTACAGAAAAAAACCTAACGCCACATATATATGATGTTGAAAAAATTGCAACATGACATCTTCAGAAGTATAAATGTGGAGATGGGGAAGGAAAAAGAAACGATACAAAGGTGATCTTAGGACATGTGAAATTCCTCAAAGGCTTAGTAGACACTCTTCATTGTTAAGTTATTGGCAAAAACCAAGGACGAGTTTCTGAGTGAGAAATATGTTCCAAGTAGTGGAAAGGAGGAGGAAATAGAAGAGAATCTATTAACAGAAATGCCTTTATCAGTGTATAAGTAACATCTCTGAGAACTCAGAGATAGCTGTTGATGTGTGAGGATGGGTTACCTATTTTCCACATTAGATACAGAAAATAAAATATTCTGGGAAGGAATAAAGACATTTACAGCTAGAGCTAGTAAAATGTGCATTCTAGGTTGGCTGGCATTCATCCATACATTCACGCATTCAACAAGTCCATATTAAGTGTCTGTGAAGGGTCAGACATGGTGCCACGTGCTCAGCTATAACAATGGATGTGACATTGTCCCTGAGCTTTGTGAAAGCACACTCTTGGGGGAGGCAGAAATGTAATAAATAAATCCCTGAAATGTATTCACCTCACTGAAATATAATCCAGAAATTTGTCTTTGGTATTCTTCCACTGTGCCTTTCAGTTTCTGTCTCTGCTCGAGGTCTTGCTCCCAACTGTCTGTTAGAGCCCTCCCCACAATGCTGTCTGCTGATGGCGTTAACACTGTTAACAGGGAATTCTTTTTTAAAATTTTGTATTTTTTTTTCTTTTAATAATAAAAGTAATACATGCTCATCAAAAACAATTCAGAAAGCACAGACAAGAATACAAAAGAAAATAGCAATTATTCATAATTCCATTATCCAGAACAAAGTTTGCTAATGTTTTGGTATCTAGTCATGCATACGTATTTCTCTGCATTTCTTTCTATTGATCTATTTTACAGAAATTAAAGATACATACTGTTTTGTAACTTGTTTTCTTCACTTAATATATCATGGACCTGTTTCCATGGCATTAACATAGATCTACATTCCCACTTTAAATGGTTGCATAGCATTCCATAGTGTGGCTGAATGACAACTTATTTAATCTGAACCCTTTAACTGGGGTCCTTCCTGGCCATCCTCCTAATGTCAGAAGGCCCACTCTGTTTGATGTGAAATCAGAGAAACCTGTCAGAATAAAAACAAATGACACAATATATTATTTATTTCAAAGAGCAATTTTAGGAATGAGAGAAGTAAAGGAAAGTGAAAAAGAAATGGTCGATGAAAGGAACATTTTATCTTTGTAAATATTTTATTGCAAATGAAATAATTTCTTGCAAATAAGACCTGTCCTTTTTATTCTTCTAAAACTCTGAAAGTGTCTGAAACACTTAAAATCAAATCAGATTACACCTGTTTAGGGTGAAGTACCAAAATTTCTGCAAGAGGACTCTCCACCCTAGTGTTCGTGGGCTTAATTTATAATAAACATCCCAAGGAGCCAGTGCTTCCTGGAAAGTTGTTTAATGGAGTGATCAGTCAAGGAGAGACTCTGCTGACCTGGACTTCCCTGATAAGGCAGTGAGGAGTTAGGTGTGGCTCAGGGACACTGAAAGTGTGCAGGAATGAGGACCCTGGAATATGAGAAGTCAGGAAACTGTCAGCTGAACCTGCTCAGTAGTGCTGTGTTGGAGTTTTTGTAATGTAGAAGGGGACATGACAGTCACTGGGGAAAAGTGGCTGAGGTTAGGAAAGTGGCCCTGTCTGGCTGGCCCTAAGACGAGGAGGAACTCCAAGCTGTGGTTTGCAGAGAGGTGGATGTCCCTCTAGGTGTTCCAGAGGCCGATGACCGTGAGGATGCAGGAGGCCATGAAGAGCAGGTAGAGGAGGAAGAGCAGGGTGTCCATCATGTGGCTGAACTGCACCCACAGCTCCACCCCGTGCCGCTTCTGGGCCTCCTGCTCCCGCTGGGCCCTTGTCCATCCTGAGCCCCTAGCCGGCTCTGCCTCTCCGGGGCCTGGCACCTTCCCCACCAATTCTACTGGCTCCTTCAGGCCTGTGGAAAGGACAGAGACTCAGCCCTGGGCTGTGAAGGTCACCCGCCCAGGGAGGAAGGGAGGGAAGAAAGGAGGGGCAGAGAAGTGGGGGTGTGGAAAGAGCAAGTGTGGGGGGCTGACTTCCCTCACCAGGCAGCTGGGCGGGGGGGAGACCCAGGCCCTTGTTTCCCTTGTGGGGCGTAGTGGGGCAGCATTTCCTTGGGCAGGTGCAGTGCAGCAGCAGGGAGTGGAGCCGCCTCGGCATGGTGGGGGCTGGTTGGTGGCCAGGTGCAGCAGGTAGGCGATGAAGACGGTCTCCAGCAGGCTGAGCATCATCAGCGACAGGCACAGGGCAAAGTAGACACCTGAGGGCAAAGCAAACTATAAATAAAACAGAACTAAGTTCTTCTTATGTCTGTTTCCCAAGGCCAGTCTTCCCTGAGAGCCCCTTCCCTCCTTAATTAGAGCAGCAGCTGGTCCCTGTCCTCTGCTGCCTTTGCTTCTCCAGAAAGTGGGAGGAGCCATACTGATGAGGGGGGTGCCACTGGCAGGGAGTCAGTCATTCATCATGAGCAGGAAGACGTTGTAGCCCAGCAGAAGGGTCATCTTGAATGGGGCGCGATTCTCGCTCTCTGCTGGCAGATAGAAGCTGAGGGCGTTGATGGCAACCAGAAAGCCACTGGGCACCAGGAGGTTTATGATGTAGAGGCTGGGCCTGCGCCTGATCGCCACCTGGAGAGGGAGTGGAGAAGGTGTCAAATAAATTGATTCCAGAGGGCTCAGTTTGTCTATTTCACTATCTAATCCTTGCCCTGCACTGTTAGGCTGGCTATGGGACAATCTTATTAGGTGACACATGCATATTTAATTAGAAGTGCCTCCAATTTGTTGTTTAATTTTTATTTATTTTCAACCTGCCCAGAACACAATGATTATAGAATTCTAGGGGCAAGTAGGGCCCTTTGGGCCATCCATTTGCTGCTCCATTCCGAGCAGCAGTACTTGTAACAGCCCAGCAGGGCGAATGAATGGGGGGGCACCTGCAGGTCCTGCTTCAGGACAGTCAGGTGGAGGAGCAGGTGCTTAACCCTCTGGGGCTTCTTTTTACTTCCCAAAGAGCCTTAGATTCAAGTGGAAAACACAGACCAACTGGGACCGGAAGTCAGACAGGGACCCTGGGACTCACATAGAACATGATCTGGTCATACAGGTTGTCGCCCACCAACATCTTTGGAGAGGTCTTGTTGATGCCCAGGAGCTCCCACTCTCCCTGGGTGTGGATGACATCACGAGACATATCTGTTATCTCCCACACTTCCTTGTCCATGCCCAGGAGCATGCTATCCACTGTAAGACAGGCGGTCGTCTCAGTCCAGAAGTATTCCCAAACCTCCTGCCCACAAAATTCAATTCCTCCCCCGTTGAGCTTCTTCAACAAATGTTTCCCTGACCTCCTAAGGCAGGGCATCCTGGTTTTCTCAGAAATGGGTTACAGGACTAGCAATTCCTATGTGTGTGGGCTGCAGCATTGATTGTTGTTGTTGTTGAAAACAAGAGTGAGTCAAGGTTGTTTCGGGAATATTGAGAATGACTCAAATGTGAGTCAAGAACTTTTGGAATCATTCCTATTTTCCTTCCCAATCTCCTAGTTGTATGATGTTGTTTTAGTGGAATCAAGCTTGAATTAGCTCAATATTTTTATAATTACACTCGTGCCCATTATGATGATTAATTTATCAAAATCTGCCGTATGACACCTGATGGCATTCGGTTACATTCATTTACTGGTTTAAGTGTGTTAGCTATTAAAGTTAAAATATTTGAGCTAAAAATTATAGGTGTGCAGCAGCTCAGAGTCTGATGGGCCTCATTTGGCACAAGGGCCATCCAAGCTGTAAAGCAGTGGTTCTTAGCCTTGTCTGCACATTAGCATCACCTGGGGGCTCACCTGGAACAATTAAACTGGAATCTCTGGGGTGATGCACAGTTATTGGTATTTTTAAAAAGCTTTAGTGGGCAGCTGGAGTTGAGGAACACTGATCTAAAACCTTCCCTAACAATATCTACGCCATTTAAATATCTTCCCCTTGATCTTAAATAGCTATCAAAATGTGTCACACTTACTTACCTGTGTAGAGGAAAGAAGTGAAGGTGAAGGTACAGTTCTGTTGGTCAAAAGGGAAGTAGAAGATGTCCAGGTTACAGATGTTGGTCACCCTCATTGGCTTATCGTACTTTATTCGACCTTCACTGCTGACATAGGCAATGAGACCTGAAGGCATCTCATCCACATCCATGCTGTTTGGGAAAGGGAGGGGAAGGTAGGACTCAGTCAGCTTTTGTTTCCCTTCCTTCTCAGGCCTTCCCCCACTGTGCTCTCCTTTTGGGCTCTTTCTCTAATGCCTCTCTATCTTGTCTCTCCCTCTCCTCGTAGTGTTTTGTGGAAGTCCATTCGAGACTATGCCCCGTCTGAGTGTTTGGTGGCCCCGTGCCCTGCATGGACCCTACGCTGTTCTTTGCAGATGGGGCCTTGGGCTGGCTTTCCCTAGCCCAGATACGCACGATTCCACGATGAAGATGTCTGGGAGCCACAGCTTTTCAGCTACTATCGTGAGTTTATTGAGGCCAACACATTTTTCTGGGTTCCAGCTGATGAAAGGATTGTCCCATATCTGCAGCCAGGGCAGTGAGGGATGGAGGAGAGTGATGGTGAGCTCACCCCATCCGCTTCTCCTGCCCTTTCCACTCTTTTTTAAACTCTCATCCTCCCACTTGCATTTGTGACCCTAAGGACCACAGCCTATCTCCCCTTTATTTAACAAGGCTCATCAGCAAAGAGCCCCTTAATATCCTTTCTGCCAGGAACATCTCAAATATCACCTAAAACCACTTGGAGCCAGGAACATACCAGTTATTGACCTGCAACCACTTGGCTATCTTTGGGGAGTTGCCATTTCTACCTGCCAAAGCTAGCCAGGGAAGTTTGTGTCCCCAGGGCCAGTCCAATTCTATAGGGAGTTATTTCGTCCCAGAAGGATTTATACCTTGAGAAGAGGTTTGGAGTAGAAAACCTTTTATATCACTTCTAACTTCTCAAATTTAAAATTATAAATGGAAGTGGGAATGGGGAGAGTCGACTCTGCCTTACCAAATTCATCCACAGGAATGATGTCAGCAGCTGGAGCTGTGCATCCTGATAAAGAAATTCCCACCCAGGGTTATTAGTGTGGAAAGATTTGGCTCACACCCACCTCGTATTCTCACCACTATTTACTCATTTGTTGGTCCAGGCATAATTCTAGCTGCGGGACTGTCATCCTTACTTTTTTCCCCTGTGTCTAGGTACAAATCTGGTTTTAATTGACATTAAAAGCATTTCAAAGAGAACAGGACTCAAGGACACATGTGTCCTGAAAAAATTTCATTGCAGTATTCTTCTTCATGCCACTCTCCTGCACAGGAAAACCATCTGACTTGTACAAAATCCATTTAGGGTACCTATTGTTTACCACCGGACCAGTGCAACATTGGGTTGACAGGGCAGAGGATACTTGTTCCCTATTAGAAGCAATGGGAAGAATGTGGGGACCAGGTCTCACTGCTTCCAGGATGACAGACAAGGTGAAGGAGACGTTGACATGAGTGGGGACACTGTACTTGATGATTGGACGGAAGGGCTTTCTGTCAAACACTGCTTGGAAGGCAGGAGGGTCCACCCCATGCAGGTCAAAGCCTGAGCAATCGATGGTGAAAGTGTTGCCTCTTCCTGTAGAGAGGAGAGACCCTGTGAGAGACAGCCTCTATTTCCAGGGCTGGACCCTCTCTGCAGAGAGAGAAAATAGGGGGCATACTGGGAGGAGCTGGTGAGCCCTCTCCCCTTCCTGGGCCAAAACTCCCCAAGGTCAAGGTTGGGGCGGATGGGCTGGGCTGGTAGGCAAATGGTGGAAGTTGATGTGGTCAGCTGAGTCAGCATTCTATTCTCAATCCCATTGTTTCATTCTCATGCAAAATCTGCCCAAATCTATATGCAAACTTGGCCTTAGTGCAATGTCAACCACTTCAAAGAGTCCCTTAATGTACCTATCACAATCCTCTTGGTTCCATCTAGCAGTGGCACTGCTTAGCACTGCCCTAAAACTTGTAGTCCGGGTCACTTAGCAATTTGCTCTACTGTATTTCTCTTCCCGTTAGGGACTTCCATCTACTGAAGGCAAGAACTGATTTATCAAGAGGATAAAAGAAGTAAACACTGCACTTACTAGGTAGATATGGGAAACACACAGTAGGTATTCTGAATGGGTGCTTACCTCGATGCTATGCATTTATTTTGTTCTTCTCAGACTTAGTGACTTCAGATATCTTGTTGGTTATTTCCAGCATGAGGATCATTAGGTGACACACTGAGTGTACACCATGTGCCCAATCACAGAGAGAGGCCTGTGCAGATACTGTCCCCTTGGCCACAGCCAGGGAGCTATGTGGGTAGTACTTGAGCAGAAGCTTTGCCACACTGCCATCTTCCTGTGGTCTTTTTCTTTGCCTCCTTCTCTGTATCTCCATCTCTTTCCGCAATATTTAAGGTATGTACCCAGATTGGGAACAAATACTCCCTCATGGAAGCAAATATCTGCTCTTTTCCGCCTCAGATTGATCCTTACCCTCCCTCAGTGTTTTGTGTAATCCTTCAGGGCACATTTGAAATCAATGGCTACTCTTGTCATAGACATCACAGCAAGAGAAAAAGAGACAAGGCAGGGGAAGGGGTACGGTAGGAGGGGCATCAGAAGTCAGCGAAAAGGTGGAATCGGAGAGGTGGTGAAATGGAGCAGTTTGGTAGATTTTTGTGCACGCAGGAATCAAGAAAGGCTGTGTGTACTCATGAGTGAAATGTCTTTCTACCTGCCACCAAAAGGAAATCAAGGAACAGACATTGTGGAAGAAACATTTAACAGGTTAATTCCGAGTGAGCTCCACGTGCTAGAGGTAAGACCTGGGTGTCCCTCAGAACCACATTCCGGTTTCCCCTGTTCTTGCCCCATCTTACCTGGAAGCAGAAGGCTGATAGTGAGGCAGAGGAGGACACTCCTCTTGCAGGCCACCCTCCTTCCATTCTCCTTTCTGGACTCTTCTCTGGGGACTCACCAGGAGCCCCCAAACCCTTGAGCTTAAAGGAGCTCGGACCACACCTTAGTTCCTGGTTTTGAATACTGCTCGTGTCCGGTGATCACTCCCTAGCAAGGCTGTGGCCAGAAAGGTCACAGCAGAGTGTCCTGCTTTGCCCCTGACCAAGTATGCCTTCCGGGCTCCAGGCAGGCAGGAAGTTGGGCCAAGACTAGGGGAGAAGCACCTATTTGGCAGCTGTGTACTGAGATCAATAACAAAATAACTTGCCTCAATGATAGAGTGTGGGCTGGGGAAACAAGGGAATTTTGTTCTTCCAAGGCCAGGGAATCTGCAGATTTGGAAAGGTGGCAATATTTAGTGATTTGGTTATGAATGCTAAAGTATCTTTCACCTTTTTTTGATTTTGGGATTATTCCAAATACCAAATTATAAAGCTCGGTTTGTACCTTCATCATCTCATGTCTGTGTTTTTCCAGTAGCCTCTAACTAAATTTCCTCTTTCCAGTCTCTCTGCCTTTCTGATTCATTCTCCCCAAACCAATGTTCTCCATATATTTTTAATGCTATGCACTGATTACATGATGATAGAAGTCATAAAGTTAAGACTGCAACACTTTGTGCTGTCGATAGTGTTATACATTATCATAAACTAGTAATCTCAGCTAACATCAATAGTATTGGCATGTGTCGATATTATGTCTTATGTCACATCCCTATTAAAAAACAATTGGATCAAATGAGTGAACTGGAGCATTTCTATATCAAGTATCTTAGTTACATTTCCAGAAAGACTTGGAAATTTTTTCTTTGCTGAAAGGGTGAAGGGTCAGGCCTAGAATACAAAAGAAGCTTTGTTTGGAATGGAAGATCATGACAGCTCTAAATAGAAAGTGCTGAGCAAGGCAGGAATGATTTAGAGGCCAAAAGGAGGAAAGTGCAGGAGAAAGGGCTGCAAGAGATGCCATCTGAGCTCTGCCATATCTGCAGTTCTTCGGCCCTACCGGCTCTGCAAGTAATTTCTTCCCTCCTTCGGAAACTTGGCCAGCCTGAGGTAGAGGTTGCAGTGAGAGGAAGAAGGAAGGAGGGGAGAAAGAGAAGAAGAAAGGTAGCTAGAAGTACTGGGGGTGGAAGGAGCGGGAAAGGGAAGAAGGGGGGCAAAGAGGAATTGTTAGAAAACCTGTTCAAAGTTTAAGGTCTCTCTTTTGTGACTTGAAAGGGTTCAGCTGGGAGGCGAGTCAGTATCTGGCAGCACAAGGTACTGGCTAGCACAAGGAGGAAGCTGTTGGTATGAGGGCTGGGGCAACTGGCCAGACTACAGATGTTCTTCCAACCTAGAAAGCCAGGTGGTCCTACAGTGTACTTTATAGCAAGTCAAACACACGTGCAATCAGGGACAGAGCTGGCATGTGGAGGGTCCAGAAAGTGGATGGAAGCAGAGATGGCAGCAAATGAGATTCTAGGACCTTTGGTTTTGGACCAGAATACGAGGCGGAGATTTGGGGGCTAGCACCTCTGGAAAAATGGGCTATCATTCAGGGGGATTCTCTCTTTAAAGGGGGAAGAGTGAGGGCTGAGTATGACTGAATAACCAGGCAGAAATTGAGCACAAAATCTGTGCTTCAGATTGGACCCATCACGCCCTGTAGGACCAAAGTACTGCTGTGTCTTTATCTACGTGGACATACAGTCTTGCAGCCCTGGACTCCTAGACTGGCTAAGAGTGAAGGACTTTCAAGAGAGAAGTGCTGGAGTTCCACGGGCAGGTAGGCTGAGCTTCCAGACCTCGGATCCAGGAAAGGAGGGTTAACTTTTTGTTTTTATTGAGGTTGGCTGAGAAGCTGGAGTGGACCTGGGTCTACACAGGTTGGACTCAAAAGTATATTCAGCTGCCAGGAGATGGAGACAATGGAGGCAGGAGAAATAAGGCAGCAAGGCAAGGACTCACAGCAGCTGAGGAGTCAGCGTTTCAATGCTGCGGTCTGAAAATCTCAGGTGCTGTTGCTGTTGCTGTTGCTGTTGTTACTGTCTGTAGCTGCTGCTGGTGGTGATGGCTAAGGCACTTTACTATATGTGATAAGCGTCTTACCTACTTTATTTTATTTAATCCTCCCGACAGTTCTATAATACAGATATTGGGTAGGAGTATGCAGATAAAGGAAAAGGAGCCAACTAAATAGAAGGCAATTTGAACTTGCATTTCCTTTCCAAATTTTAGAAGATAGGAAATTTGAGGAAAACATAAATTTTGTCAGTAGCCAAAAGAACACCCACAGTTAATTGATCATCTACAAAAAACCACCTAAAATGATGTGTTAGAGACCATTTTCAAATAAAGCAATAAAAATGATAGTACTTAAAACAAGCTGGGTTGCAGGTTTTACAGTGCTTATGGCCTGTAACAAGCCAGAAGAATCTCATAGTTTTTCAAAGGAAACAATCAACAGAGTAAAAAGGGACTCTATAGAGTGCAATAAAATATTTGCAAGCCATATATCTGATAAAGGATTAATATCCAAATTATACAAGGAATTCCTACAACTCAACAGCAAAAAGAAAAAAAACCCCAAAAAGCCCAAACAAAAAACTCCCCCAAATTCCCCCAAAAAAAAAAAAAAAAAAAAAACCCAATTAAAAAATGGGCCAAAAACTTGAATGGATATTTCTCCAAAGAAGACATACAAATGGACAACTGACATATGAAAAGTGGCTCAGCCTCACTCATCATCAGGAAAATGAGAATTAAAACCACAATAAGATATTACCTCAAACCTGCTAGGATGGCTATCATCAGAAAAACAAAAGAAAACTTAGCAGGGCGGGGTAGCATGCACCTATAGTCCCAGCTACTCGGGAGGCTGAAGCAGGAGGATTGTTTGAGCCCAGGAATTTGGAGTTATAGTGAGCTATGATCATGCCACTGCATTGCAGCCTGGGCAACAAGTAAGACCGTATCTCTAAAAAAAAAAAAAAGAAAGAAAGAAAAAGATAACAAGTGTTGGTGAGGATGTGGAGAAATTGGAACCCTTGTACACTTTTGGTGGGAATGTAAAATGGAGCAGACTCTATGGAAAACAGTATGGTCATTCCTCAAAAAATTAAAAATAGATCCAGAAATCCCACTTCTAGGTATATATCCAAAAGAATTAAAATCAGGATCTTGAAGAGATATATGCACTCCCATGTTCATTGCAGCTTTTTTGTTGTTTTTTTGGAGACAGGGTCTTGCTATGTTGTCCAGGCTGGACTTGAATTCCTGGGTCAAGTGATCCTCCCATCCATCTCCCAAGTAGCTGGGATTTGAGACATGTACCACTGCACCTGGCTGTTACTGATTTAAAAAAAAATTTTTTTTTAGGTATGGGGTCTTTCTATGTTGCCCAGGCTTGTCTCCAACTCCTGGCCCCAAGTGATCCTCCTGCCTTCCGAGTAGCCAGGATTACAGGCACGAGCCACCACGCCTGGCTCACTGAAGCATTTTTCATAATAGCCAAGAGATGGAAACAACCTAATTGTCTATCAAAGGATGAATGAATTAAAAAATGTGGTCTGTACATACATTCGGCCTTACATAAGAAGAAATTCTGCCATATAGGACAACATGGATGAATCTGGAGGAAGTTATCCTAAGTGAAATAAGCCAGTCACAGAAGGACAAGTACTACATGATTCCACTTATGTGCGATATCTAAAGTAGTCGAACTCATAGAAACGGAGAGTAGCATGGTGGTTGTCAGGGGCTTTGGGGAGGGGGAGTCGAGGAGTTGCTTTTCAAAGAGTATCAAGTTTCAGTTATGCAAGATGAGTATGTTCTAGAGATCTGATCTACAACATTGTACCTATAGTTAAGAATATTGTATTGTGTGCTTAAAATTTTGTTGAGAGGGTATAGATCTCATGTTAAGTGTTCTTACCACAATAAAACACAATTGGAAAGATAAAAGAGTGACATAGTTTTTGGCATGGACATCAGGTCCCTTTCTACCTTCGGAATCCTCAGGGCGTGCAGGGTACTCACAGAGCACACATCACATTCTGTGTCCGCCAGCCCTTTGTCTCAGACAAATAAGTAAGCACTTGGAATGCTTGTTTAGGAGGCATGCTCTCTAAGACTAGCTTTCATCTGGAGTCCATCCCAGGACAGGATCCCCTGTTACAACGTGACTGGGACAGTCGCTCCTGGGAGTGCCTGCCTCTTCCTTCTCTTTTCCAGTAGGCTCTCAGAAAAGGGAGGTCAGCCACATTCAGATAGAGCTGAGATATCATGCTCTAAGGCCATTAGGAATACCTGTCCTCTACATTCTCTGGAATATCCTGGGGCGTCTCTAGGGCTCCCATTTTAACTCCTGGCACATGTCTCTCCTAAGGCAAGCTGTGGCTTTCATGCTGGTTCAGAAATTCTTAGCTGATTCAGAGGTCACTGTAGAAGGGTCAGGGACTTCTTCCACACTGACTTCTTTCTTTGGGCATCTTTGGAGACTACATCTTGGGTTTACATAGCCCCAGGAGTCTTGGGCACTCAGCCAGAACAACATCTAGAAACGGAGGCTCAAATTTAAGCATTAACTGCATTCTTGGGCAATTCTGTAGCCAGTCAGGACTCTTGTGAGCCCGGGGTTACCTAGAGCAGAGTTTCTCAACCTCAGCACTGTTGACATTTTGGGCTGGATGATTCTCTGGAGGGATGTCCTGTGCATTGCAGGATGGTTAGCAGCACCTCTGGCCCACCAGATGTCAGTAGCACCCCCTCCCCCCATCGTAACCATTAATAATGTCTCCAGGTATTGCCAAAGTTCCCCTTGGGGGTGAAATGGCCTGCAGTTGAGAACATTTGGCAACTTGGGATCTTAGGAATTTAGCACTTTTTCAAAGCCCAAATGACAATAGTGTGTGATCACGTCCTCTCCTCTCACTCCCTGTTGTGCTGGCAGGACAATTGCTGGCCTCTCTCCATGGCACTCCCAGTATGTACCATGAGCAGCTGCTCCA